TTCCCCCCCCTCTCTCGCTCTCTCTTCCCCCCCCCTCTCTCGCTCTCTCTTCTCTCTTGCTATATAATGTATTGCTGGGATTTGTAGCCATCTATAGCCTATGGAATTCTGCATTGCTGTATAATGTTTTGCTGAGATTTGTAGTCCTCTATAGCCGGTGCCATTCTACAATTCTGCCATCCGTAATTGGTGTCAGCGAGTACTTGAGGAAAGGTATTGGTACTTGTACTCAGTCTGAAAAAAATTGTATCGTGCACCCCTATTAGTTATTCAGGATTTTGCCCCACCTACAACTTGGACTGGGTAAAAAATGATATCCATAGGTAAGCAGGTTGAGGTACTGGTTTAAGGCATTTCATATTAATTTTGCCAGAAGCATGCTTATGAGCACGTGGACCTTTCAGTCTCCCTCTCCATTACCCAGTGTTGCAAAAAAAAAAAAAGGTAAATCCCCCTCAACACAGTTGAGTTCAGGTGTTTCCAGTAAGAGATCCTCTTAATTCTACAGCATACAAAGACGTTTTATACAATTGTGCTCTTCAAGGCTTGTAACAGTTTGGGGAAGGCCATTTTCTCTTCCAGTATGACTGTGCACGAAGCCAGCTCCATAAAGACATGGTGTGGAGGAACTTCGAGTGTCCTGCACAGAGCCCTGACCTCAACCCTATGGAACACCATTGGGATGAATTGGAACGAGCCAGAACTTCTCGTCCAACATCAGCACCTCACCTCACAGATGCTCTTTTTGGTTGAATGTGAACAAATTCCCACAGGCACACTCCAAAATCTTGTGGAAAGTCTTCCCAGGAGAGTGGAGGCCAACTCCATATTAGTGGCCACGGTTTTGGAATGAGATGTCTAAAAAGCTCACAAAAGGGGTGATGGTCAGGTGTCTGCAAATATCTGGCCATGTAGTGATCATGGAAGATCCATCCTGACTAGGGCTGTACCCTAATAAGCACTTAGGAATCCCCTGTTGGCAGTCTCCCACCTGTCGCTGCGCTGTTACACAATACAGTGTAGATTTTATACGTCTGTCAGGTCTCATCTTGCACAATGCCAGTTATGAAATGCCAGGTGAATGTCTGTTTGTCTTCTCCTTTACAACTTTGCAGAGCGGGAGAGTGAGATTCCTGTTTACTCTCCCGTCCGCCGAGAATGGCGACTGCAAGGTCCCCTGCAAGCCCATAATATCGCCGCCGGCTTTTCCTTTTATAGAGTTTTTATTTGCAAACTCAAACTTTATCTTTGTGTCCTGGAATGAATGATTTGACTGCAAATATATCCTTTGTTCCGGGTGTTTTCTGTGTTATAATCACTTTTCCGGCACAAGTTTTGGTGTCTCTGAGAGTTCCTCTGACTTGAATGAGAAACTTTGGGTCAATTTTTTTGTTTTTGGGCTATTTTTTTTTTTAATGATGTTTAATCACTTAATAAACATTTAATGCAGGGTGTATTTATTACATGGGATGCTAAAGAGAAAGCACAGCAGAAGTTGTTTCCTTTAGGGCAATCTAGCTTTCCTAAAGTATGTGTGTGGGCAAAAAAAAACTAAAACATACTCATTATAAATCTCTGCAATGTATGCACATGTTCTGTATATGTCAAGTACAGAGAATTACCTGTTGATCTATCAGAAATTCAGAGAGATCCTAACTTTCTTTTTGAGCTGACAACACTATGCCTCTGCTGCTTTGAGCTGCCGTGCAGTGCTCTCAGCCCCGTGCGAGTTCTCCCCTGCTGGGCTGCAGAACACCTCCCCCATATTTTTGTTGATGTGTGAAGGGCGAAGATGTTCTGTTTGTCCTGGCATTCACAGACCCAGGTCAGTGACCCACAGCAACCATGCAGCCAGTGATATCAGAAATTATGTGGGCAGCACAGCGGCTTAGTGGTTAGCACTTCTTTCAGGGGTCCCTGGTTTGAATCCTGGTCAAGTCAGTATCTGCAAGAGTTTGCATGTTCTCCCTGCTCTTGTGTGGGTTTCCTCCCTTCCCGGTACTCCTGGTTTCCTCCCTTCCCGGTACTCCTGGTTTCCTCCGTTCCCGGTACTCCTGGTTTCCTCCGTTCCCGGTACTCCTGGTTTCCTCCGTTCCCGGTACTCCTGGTTTCCTCCGTTCCCGGTACTCCTGGTTTCCTCCCTTCCCGGTACTCCTGGTTTCCTCCCTTCCCGGTACTGCTGGTTTCATCCCTTCCCGGTACTCTTGTTTTCCTCCCTTCCCGGTACTCCTGGTTTCCTCCCCTCCCGGTACTCCTGGTTTCCTCCCCTCCCGGTACTCCTGGTTTCCTCCCCTCCCGGTACTCCTGGTTTCCTCCCCTCCCGGTACTCCTGGTTTCCTCCCCTCCCGGTACTCCTGGTTTCCTCCCCTCCCGGTACTCCTGGTTTCCTCCCCTCCCGGTACTCCTGGTTTCCTCCCCTCCCGGTACTCCTGGTTTCCTCCCCTCCCGGTACTCCTGGTTTCCTCCCCTCCCGGTACTCCTGGTTTCCTCCCCTCCCGGTACTCCTGGTTTCCTCCCCTCCCGGTACTCCTGGTTTCCTACCTGGTTTCCTCCGTTCCCGGTACTCCTGGTTTCCTCCCTTCCCGGTACTCCTGGTTTCCTCCCTTCCCGGTACTGCTGGTTTCCTCCCTTCCCGGTACTCTTGTTTTCCTCCCTTCCCGGTACTCCTGGTTTCCTCCCCTCCCGGTACTCCTGGTTTCCTCCCCTCCCGGTACTCCTGGTTTCCTCCCCTCCATTGGTACTCCAAAGACATGTTAAAAGGTTAATTGGCACCTGTCCAAAATTGCCCTGCATATGTGTGCTTAAAGGGACCTTAGATTGCAAGCTCCTCGAGGGCGAGGACTGGCATGAATTTGCATGTGAAGCGTTGTGTGAATTGTCGGTGCTATATACATACCTGTAATAAATAAATAACGCTGCTTATTTGTTCAGCTCATTGACACTTCAGCCTCCTTTTGCCTAAAACCATCACAGATTCGTAAACCCTAAAATATCTCCTTAAAGTGTGTGTGTGTGTGTGTCAGTGTCATACAGATCAATAGTTTGGAATTTACTACCAGACATATGAATGACTTAAGGCAGGCAGTTTTCCGTTTTGATGACTTTTTAGGAATACATGCAATCACATGACTTTCTTGGAATCACATTTTAAATTTGAACTAAACTTTTCTCTCTTGCACAGGTGATCTTCCGGCCTCCACTGGACCTTTATGATGTCATGATCCACTTAAATCCCAAGCACATTCCGCGGCATCGAGAGGCGGTGGATCAGACTGCCAAGTCCTTTCATCGCGGGCTTCTGGGGGAGGACGCCCAGGTCAAGGCCCTGCGGTTCCCTGTGGTGGATTATGATCCAACTCAGTTATACCTTAAGTCACTTAGGGTGAGGATCTGCTTAAAAGGGACATTTTGCTTTGTTTATAAATCGGTTTATTGTGTGTTATTCAATTTTCCAACTTGCCTTACCAAAATAGTCATGATGTAACAGTATAGATAAGCTCTAAAAATGGCTTTAGGTATCCGGCCTACCATGTCTATATTGAACGTCCCACCTACATACCCTAGACTGATCTACAGAAGTTTTTGGACACCTGACCATCACACATGGGAGATTGTTGGACATCTCGTTGCAAAATTTTATGGCCTTTAATATTGGGATGGTCCCTCCTTGTGGCCATACCATCCTCCCCACTGCTAGGAAGGCTTTCTTCAAGATTTTGGAGCATTTCAGTGGAAGTGTGTGCCCATTTAGCCAAAAGAGCATTCGTGAGGTCAGATGCAGAGGTTAGAGGTTGGATTCAATTCATCCCAAAGGTGTTTAAGTGGCCTGCACAAAACTCTGACTTTAACCCTACTAAGTTCCTCCACACCTAACTGGTCAAACCATGTCTTGGAACTGAACTAGTGCACAGTCATGCTGGAACTGAACTAGTGCACAGTCATGCTGGAACGTAAAAGCACCTTCCCCAAACTGTGGCCACAAGGTTAGAAGCACAAGGCACTTCTCTATACAATGTAGGCAGGTATTGGCTGGTAGGGAGGGGCCGGGAGGATGCTGTACATAGCTTCCTGAAAACATCACAGCACACTGTCCCAGTACTGCTCTCAAGATCCCTCAGCCATGATGCAAGCAGTGGGCTGGCTCTTGGCAAATATCAAAATACCTTGATTGGGTATATGTCGGTCTGGAGGAGTGAGTGTTCTTAGACATGCTACATTTGCATGAAGACCAACTTGGGCAACGGCCACAAGAAATGTTGAGCCTCCATGTTTGAAAGAACTGAAATCCACTGAATAAAAAGGGGCGGGCTGAGAAGGAAAGCACTAGGTGATGCATCATCCAGCCAGGAAATGAGGTGGGCATGCAGACCCCCCTAGGTAACAGCCCCCATTTGATGCTGAGCCTCCATGATTAGAGAAATTATGATGCTGGATCTCTTCCAGCCAACAAATGAGACGGGCTCTATCTGACTTGCTGCAGCTACTAATGCACATTGTGAGAAGCTCCCAGTGTGCAGTGACATCAGAGGAAGCCATTTCAGTCCAGGAGAGGAGCCGATACAACTGTGCAAGACTGAAGGGAAGGCCGGAGTTCAACTTTAACTACTGAACTGCACTTAAACAGGAAAAAGGGTATAGAGCGCTACTACCTAGAGAAAAATTATATTAAATGGCATCTATTCTCCTCCCATGTGTCAGATTTAAAGTGCTCCGTGCCTCCCGCCACACGTCTTTGTTCTGAGGCTTGAAAAAGAGGCTGTCTCTCGAAACGCGTAGCCGTCACGATACAGAGAGCTCGTCTGTGCACAGCATCCACTCACCTAGACGTTTTTTCATAGACCCAGCCTGTCTGTCTGACTTCATTCTGTACGCACCGAATTTAGCCGTTCGCGGTATCGTTCCCTATAGCCGCCGCGGTCTCGTTCCCTATAGCCGCCGCGGTCCTCCCTCCCATAGCTGCCGCGGCCCGGCCTGGCCAGCCGTGCACGCGTGCCGCTAGGATTTCTCACAGTGCCCCCTCATCCATCCATCGCTGTAGCATCCTGCTTTTGGACTCTCTCCAGACACCGGTCACTGATTCACCATCCTTCACATATTTGCTGACTTCCAACCGTAAGTTACACTCATTGGTTCTTTCTCAAATGAATAGATGCCATTTAATATAGTTTTTCTCTAGGTAGTAGCGCTCTATACCCTTTTTCCTGTTTAAGTATTGATTTTGCAGGGTCAGCTCCCTGTCATTTAGAGCCTGCACACCATAATTTATAGCCTGTGGTTTATCCAGTGACCTAGTATCAGTTGTGCGCTTATGATTTTGTTTTTCTACTGAATTGCACTGACACTTTGTCCCATTGGTTAAAATTGTGTTTTGCTCCTGACACAACCCCCGTTCCACCCAAAGCCAGTAGATTTTAGTTAGCGGGAGGCTGTGCTGTGCTCTGTACAATGCGTCCGTCTTAATGTTCTCTCCCAATTTTCTTTCCCTCAGGACTCGTATGGGGATTTCGCTCTGTTCTTCTACGATCAACACGGTGGTGATGTCATTGGCGTTCTTTGGAATCCCTCCAGCTTCGCACCACAGTCTTTTAAGGTATGAGAAAAATATGCGCTCATGGCACAAAATTGGTATATCTAAAGCCAAACCTTTTTGTTTGGATAGATAAGGGAAATGTTAAAACATAACTCATAACATAATAAAACTCAACTTCCTGTCCCATACACGATTGGAATTCCCCTTTTAGACAGCTGTTACCAGGACAGGTATCCCCATTGGGAGATTTCCTCTCACCCCTTGTTTTGTTGACCGCTATAACATTTTGGATTTACCATCACAGCCTGTCCAGCGATAACAGTCACCAAGACAAAAGGGGAGGTTAAATCTCTGATGGGATTCTGAACGTTTTTTTACTCTTATCTCAAATGAAGAAAAGAAAATGTAAAATTAACCACTTTCATCTCTTCTACCTGATAACACACCTCTTATAGACCAGATACATTTTACCTTTCCACTTTCGTCCTGTTTATTCGGCTATAACATTGTCTCTACTTAAAGGAGAACTATGAGGGGAGTGCTTTTCACTCACCTCATAGTTCTAGCCGACCTGTGACAATGAGACTGTCACAGGTTGGCTCAGTAGATCGGGAGGTGAGCGATCACATGCCGACGTTCGCTCACCCCTCGATCCTGTCACGGCTCTCTGCCGTGACAGGGGAGGGGCTGGATTCCCCCCTCCCCGCTCCGATCCTCCAGCGCTGACTGGCGGAACGGACGGGGGAGGGTGCGGGTAAAGCTGGCTCTGCCTCTAGATAGGCAGAGCCAGCTGTCAGTCACGCAGCTGGGCGGATCCAGACATAATTGTCGGGATCCACTTCAGCTGCGGCGTCTCAGTATATAATGAGCTACAGCTCCCTATATACTGAGCTTAGGGTGATGGGAGGACGCTAGTTTGTGTCCTCCCGTTACCCTAAGGAGAACTATGGCTAAAAGCCTTAACCCCATAGTTCTCCTTTAAGGAAACAAAGAAATACGTTGTTTTTCTAGGGGCAATCTAAGTTTTCTTTTGGCAAAATTGTCTTTTAAACATAATTTTTTAATGTAATCTATAGACAGAAATATAACTGATATAATATGCAGCTCGAAGGTCGTAACTTTAAGTTAATCTACATATGAATGCAATAGTAACTACAATTAAAATTACACTAAACTCAGGAGTTAAATCTTAAAAATCTATTTCAAGTACCTTAACTATGAACAACAATGTATCTTATTTGTGTATCACTCGGCTGTAGATCCTCCAATCATCTCTGAATTGGTGCTGACACTGTCCTTCCTTCTGGAGGGGGGATACTTTTGTTCCCCGGTGTGTGTTGCAAAGTAGTCACCGCTCCAAGGTCGCTTCCGGGATGAACTACAATCTCAACACAAATCGGTAAACTAAACGTGAGATTGTAGTCAATCCCGGGAGGGAGCTTGGATCGGTGACTACTTTACAACACACACAGGGGCCATGGGGAACAAAAGTAGCCCCCCTCCAGAAGCAGGCCCAGCGCTACCATATAGGCAGGTCAAGCAGGGGGGGGGAGGGGGCGGAAAAATGCGACCGGCCACAAGATGGCCGCGGCGGCTCTGATCACACCTGTCAGCGGTCCCTCTCTCTCCTGCCGGCCGCTGCAGCTTCAGAGCGCCCAGGAGGAGAGAGAGGGAGCGCTGACGGGTGTGATCAGAGTCGCCTCTCTGAGCAGAGGAGCGCCAGGTATGTTACCGCCCAAGCCCCCGCCGGCTAGTGCACGGACACAGATGTGTGACACCTGTTCTGATCAGAAGAGGATATGTGCAGGGATGCTCTCCTGATCGGACCACGTGAAAGTGGCTTTAGTCTCCGACTGTAAATAAACAACACTCTACCCTTTTTAATTGACAGATTTTCTCCATGAACTCTCATTTAACTCCTCGGACACCAAACAGTGTTGCTTGGACCTCTTTCATGGCTGTGCAATCGTTCAACACTCCTGGGGGTTCTTCCAGTCTTCTCATTGGTTATAGGTCTGTGACAAGATGGATATATTCCCCCCTCCCCTAGGAGTGGTAAAACAATGGCACTGCTAAGAGGAAGAAAGAGAATAGTTTGATGTTCCAGGAAAGCTTGTGGGGCGAAGGAAGGGAGGGACTGTGCGGCTTACAGTTGAAGAGACTAAGGACTTGGTTCTCAACTGGTGGGTCGTGACCCCGTGGTCGCCGCATGTCTTCCACTTTTCTAGGTGAGAGGCTCCTCTGCCTCCCCCTAGCGCAGCACTGTTAGTTCTTGCCTCAAGCAGCCATTTAAAATATGCTGCCGAGTGTCAGCTTAAGGTGGAGTGGGCCGCGAGGGAGCTCCAGCCATATTTGCATTGCTTACATCTCCCTCGCATGTCCTATAGAGGTGTCTGGACCGGAGTGACGTCATATTCTGGCTCCCGGCACCTCTAAAAGGCATGCAAAGGAGCTGTGCAAGAAATGCACTTATGGATGGAGCTCCATCACAGCACAGCTGGAGTGTGTATGTGTGGTTGAGAATATCTGTGTGTGAGATTGTGTCTATGGTTGTGTGCGTCTGTCTGTACCATGCAATCACATCTACTACACGTTCAGTTGTGGGAGGTGCATTGCATTGCTGTTCATTTGAATGGCACCCCAAACCTCCTGCCGCGCGTTCCATTGCAGTGCGACTTGGGTCGCGACTTAATGATCAAGAACAAATGTAGGTCCGGAGGTTACGCAGGTTGAGAACCACTGGACTAGGGGTTTTGAGTTGGTATTTTTTGTAGAGTGTACACTGGTGGTGCAGTGACAGCCCCTGGAAAACGTTAAATTGGTAAATACCCGCTATTCCAGTGTGGCAGGGATCTATGTATTGATTGGTGCTTATTATTTTTCAATCTTTTGTAGACCACCAATATTAACGGGCGGATGGTGGACAGTAAAAGCTCGTTGCTGGTTCCCAACGTGGAGGCCATTCTGGAGGACTTTAGGATCCTGGGTGAAGGTTTGGTGCACCACATAGAGGCTCGCACAGAGAGATGGAACATCGGATAAAGACGTTTATATTCCACAAATGAGGGCCACCTGATGCTTTGCAACATCCACAGCAAGTGCAGAGGAACCAGAACTTGTCCAAGCTTTTTTGGAAATCGTGGGGAAAATATGTTTTTTACCATTTAAAGTGAAACTGTAGGAAAGGCCGAGACGAGGGTGAAAGATTTTGTAACAAATTTATAAAACATTTTACAACTATAAATCTTTTTCCCCCTAATTTAATTAATTATGATCACTTTTGCATCTTTATTGCTTGCTATGTAATACTGGGCTACCCACCTCATACATGTTCTTCTATATACATACATATAACTGTTGTAGTAAATAAACCTCCATAACTTTTTTTTTATATGTGGTGCTGGAAGATTCAAGATATCAATCGGTGAACTGATAACACCATCCAGTAAATTCCCCAATATTCAGTAGATTCACCCTTTCTATTTGTCCTGGTGACTGTGATTACTGAACGTGAAAGAAGATTCCAAATTCTGGATTGTCGCTGGAACAGGAATAGATGGGAATCTTCCAATGGGGACACCTGTTCTGGTGACCACCAGGGATTTACCTCACTTTATAGGGACTTCCTGTTGGGAATCTAGATGGCAAAAAAAATATTGAGAGATTATAACCCTCCCTTACTCTATCCAAAACTAAAAAAAAGTTAAGCGTTGAGAATTAAAGCTAGAAGCTGATTGGTTGCCATACACAACTGCTCCAGATCTTGTCTGCTCCAGTTTTGATAAATCCCCCTCGCATTGTGTTGCATTGGTAAGGGCACTTGGAGAGCCATGGAGTCAAACCCCCCTACCACTGATCTTCACTGCGTGGCAGGTTTGCAACTGTCCAATCCAGAGTGCCCTTTAGTGCCAAGTAGGGATGCACCGATGCCGGTCTTTCGGTATCTAGTGCGAGTAACGATATTTATATTTTGGTACTTCCAGTAGTATAGAGCCGGCTTCCCGGGCAATCAGGGAGCCAGGCAGCATGTCATTCCCCACCTCCCGACTTCTTGATTGCCCTGGAAGCCGACTCCATGCTGTTTGGCTGGCTTGATGCTGATTGGCTGGGGAGCCGGCTTCCCAGCCAATCAGCATTTAGCCGGCCAAACATATCTGATAATATGGTGACACAACCTCCACCCTGCAGTTACCCCATTGTCCTCAGACCCATATCCATCCTCAGGAGCAGTCATTACCGTACCACAGATGTCCCTCGGCCAGCTGGGCAGACACCGCTCTCCCTGATCTGCCCACGGCTCCTGTGTGTACAGTGCCCGCACCACCTGCGTGATTGGCCCTCAGCCTGCTACTGCGCATGCGCAGACTGCCCAGCACTCTCATTCAGAAATCCTCTAACTGCATCAAGCAGGCGGTGCTGACGCTGTAAACAAACCGGAGTCAGGCGGCAGGATAGCTGCTGGGAGAGCGGTGTCTGGCAGAGGGACATCTGCGGTACGGTGATGACTGCTGCTGAGGATCAATGTGAGCGGAATGAGGGGTCTGCAGTGTGGAGTTGTGTCACCATATTATCAGATCTGTTTGGCCGGCTTGATGCTGATTGGCTTGCAATCTCCCTCTGACCGGAAGTTCCAGTATCAGGAAAAGTATCGGAGCATTTGGGGCGAGTACGAGTACTCGCCCAAATACTCGGTATCGGTGCATCCCTAGTGTAACCCGATCAAAATGTTTACAATTAACAAAATTTTAAATTTTGCAAACGTTATCATTCACAGGACAGGACCATCCTTACACAATTCCAGTCCTTGCTGCATGGCCAGCTTTAGGGATTATTCTCTAGAATCACCTGTGTGCTCCGGCATTTAGGAAAACAATGGTAGAAGTATCGCCTTTTATTGCCTGGATTTCAGAGCTGTGTGTAAACAGTAACTGGCTACTTGCTGCCATTGTTTTGTTCTTGGAAGATTTCATTATAGGTTTAATTGTCTCGCTTGGCAAAGTTGAGGAGAACCGGATTAAAGTGGCTTTGATAAACGTGCGCTTTGGAGAGATGCCACCAGCAATAAAAGGGAGGGAGGGAGGAGGCGCGTTTCGTAAGAGAGATGTTTCACTTTTGCTGCACGTAACCCTGGACTCCCGCCTGGATCGAAATCATTGCCCCAGCTCACGAGATACTGACGGCTCCAGTGCTGTTTGCGGTGCGCCTTCTGACACAGCCAGCTTCAGCAGGATTCATCCTCGTAGAGTCTATCCCATGTTGGGACTTTTAGCTATCTCTTCCAGGTGTAGCCAGCTTCTCTGTCCTATAACACGTGGTTTGTATTATAGTCATGCAAGATTTTATGGCCCAATTCACCCAATCATTTGCTGGCTGACCACTGAGTCCCACAAGTGTGCAATCATGACTTCCGCTGCCGATTCTGTGTCTGGTCTGCCTATGGCCTTAGAAACAGTCTGCAGCTAATGGCTCAGAAGCAGAGTCGTGCCTGGCCTTGCTAGACAAGCTTACCTCCAAGGAGTCGCAATCTTCTACCATTACTTACAAATTGAACGTTTCTGCTCTCATGGTGTGGTGCGCATACTCTGAAACTAGAGGATCACTATGTTGCTTCTACCAGTGCTGTTCCAAGTTTTGGGTGCTTTAGTCTTAAGACCACCACCACAACTTTCCCAGTGCATTTACTGTTCCAGGTTGTCTTCTATGGAGATTGGAAACCTTTGGAAAGGATGATTGCTCCTCCTGAGCGCTTATTTGCCTTGTATCTGTTTGTAGAGGACTTTGTTAAGCAATGATATGACTCCCTCCATGGATTGAGCAACGTTCCATCTTGACAAAATGATCAACATTCCAGTGGAGGATGCGCTTGTATTCAAGAACCGAGCTGATAAGTGGCTGGAAGCCCCCTCTACAGCTTTGTTCGGCAGGTCCTACTCTCCGCCCTGTCTTAGCTGTGACTGGCCAATCAGCCAGAGTTCTGCAAAGCACAATGTCTAATACAAGGTGTCTGCTCCACTACTGCAGTTGATCGCTTGATCATAGACTGTTTGGAGCAAAGGGTTGTAACAGGCTGTTTAGAGGTTACCTGCCTCATCTCCTGCATGAGTTCTCTGTCCTTACACATCCGGAGGACACTGGTTAAAGTGTTGAACTGTGAAACCCGCGTCTAAGAAGCTCTTGCCCCGATCACATAATCTCTTCATATCTACTCCGGATACTATTGTTAAGGATGATACTGGTGGCAAGAGCACCCATCTCCCTCGGCTTACTAAGCCTAAGGCACAGTCTGGGAAGGCTTATCCCTCGCTGGAGGTTTACAAAAGTCCTTTTTGTTACTCCATTCCTGCAAACCCTGAGTCCTAACGCCAGCTTGGCTCCCAGTCCACCTGCAAGGCCTGCAGCTCAGGGTCCACCAAACTTGTATACAAATCTTCCTTGGCATAAAGGTGCATCCTCATGTTCTGAAGTAAGGGGCATCTGTTAGCCTTTTTGGACACTTGGACAGCTTTCATCTCAAATGCTTGAGTGCTGTAGCCCCAGGAAATGTCCCTAGAGTTCCACTCCCAGCCCCCACCGTAGCTTATCACTTCCATCTTAGCTCTGCCACCACACAGATCAGCAGACCCTTAAGTAGCCTTCTGGGGTCTTCTGAATCAAGGTGTCATTGCCCCAATTCCTGTGGTGGAATGGGTTTTTGTTCCGAACTGTTCACAGTTACCATACCCAAAGAGGTAATCCGCCCCACCTTGGATTTCCAAGCACTAAAGATCTTCATTGTACTCCAGAAATTCTATATGGAAGTCACAAGGTCTTTCATAGTCTCCCGTCACCAGAGAGACGTCTGTGGACATCAGACTCACACCTACGTGTTTCCATATTCCCAGTGCAGCAATGTTTTCTACACTTTGCCGTGGGACTTGCACTTTCAGTTCGCGGCCCTGCCATTTGGAATCTGGTGAATACTACAGTTTATTTTGCATTGTCAAAAGAGGAACACAGTGCCAACCGCCCGTGGCCTCCGGGGGGGGTGGGCGGGGCTGCAGATGATGGAGTGA